ATGTGGCGGGCACCCTACCCACTGAGCTACAGGCACCACCTGGCTTACTAATGTTCTAATTGTGTGGGTCAATTTGGAAGGATTATTTCACTGCAACTTATTTTATTCTTTGACATTTTAAATATGTCATTAAACAAATAAAATGTAAAAGATGAACAAAAATGGATTAATAACATAAAAGAATTTGTTGTGTAAAATTTAGATTCAGTCAGAAGGCCATAGTTAAGGACCTAGAAGGCCACATGAGGCCTTACATGCTGCGGAGTGACTGGATTTGTGTGTGGGTGTTCTTTGACTTGGAGATTCAGGGTAGATTTCTCTAGAGAAGTGGCTTTTTGAGTTGGAATCTAAATTACGAGAAAGAACCTATTGTAGGAAGGTTCTTTCAGGCATAAGGAACAACAAGTACAAAGGCCCTGAGATGGGAATGAATTTGATGTATTCACAGAACAGAAACCCTGTGTGCCAAGAGAGCAGCCAAGGCCACAGGAGAAGCAGGCGGGAGGCCAGATGAACGCAGCCCTCCTAGCAGTAACCAGGTGTTTGGATTTCATTATAAATATGAAGGGAAGTGCTGGGGAGGTGTTAAGCAGAGGAGAGACTTGATCTAATTCTTGTTCTAAAAGGAGCACTCTGGTTGCTTAAGAAGCCGTTCTTCTCCCTACCATGTTCCAACATTTCCAAGCACTGAGTTCTTAGAAGTGGAATTACTGGGTCGATGGGTTTGGACATTTAAAGTGTACCTGGATGCTGCCAACTACCTCTCCAAAAGATAGCTCTAGGTTTTACTGAGTGTGCCAGCTCTTGCTGTGGCCAGTGGCATTCGGGGTGAGCTCTCACCCTCTGGACCACAGCACCCATTGTCTGGCTGTTGTTTCCCTTGCAGGACCTTTGCCACTGCATTTGCCCGGTAACTCTGGCTGCACCATATACCCGTTGGGTAAAACGGGCACCCCAGGAACATGGCAGACGAAGACCTCATCTTCCGCCTGGAAGGCGTTGATGGCGGCCAGTCCTCCCGGGCTGGCCATGTTGGCGATTCTGACGTGGACAGCGATGATGAGGAGGGTTACTTCATCTGCCCCATCACAGATGACCCCAGGTCAAACCAGAATGTCAATTCCAAGGTTAATAACTACTACAGCAACCTAACAAAAAGTGAGCAGTATGGCTCTAGTGGGTCCCCGGCAAGCTCCTTCCACTTCAAGGTGAGTGAACCAACCACCTGTTTCAAATGCCACAAGGGACGGTGTGTCACTGTATTTCCAAACCCTGGCCAGTGCTCTGAATTCTACATCTGAGAATCTATTAAGGTGGGAGGATTTTGTTGGTTTGAAGCAAGCTTTATTACCTTAGAGCAGTGTTTTTTAAATAGCTTCTGTGTTGTGAAAACCTTTTACTATGTTTTATCCAACTTGTCTATTTGTTTGTTTGAGACAGAGTCTCACTATGTCACCCTTGGTGGAGTGCTGGGGTGTCACATCTCACAGCAACCTCAAACTCTTGGGCTTAAGCAATTCTCTTGCCTCCGCCTCCCAAGTAGCTGGGACTACAGGCGCCTGCCACAACGCCTGGCTATTTTTTATTGCAGCTGCCATTTTTGTTTAGTGGCCCGGGCCAAGTTCGAACTCGCCACCCTCAGTGTATGTGGCTGGTGCCCTTACCACTGTGCTACAGTTGCTGAGCCAGTTAATGATTTTTAAAACCTTTACATGTATTAACCACCTTTTCCCAAATTTGTATACTGGTGAAAACTCACTAGGTTTCCAACTCACATACCTTCTATCTTTGTTCCATTTTATGTCAAATATTTTGATATCACCCCTGCATGCGTGTACAGGGACATAGTACAAAATGTGCTTCTCCATGTTGGTTGTGACCACAAAAGCCACTGTTTCGGATTGGACGTCCTTCTCTGGACTGAGGGAAAGGGTACTTATTTTGTTGGGGACTTGTGTTCATACCATGGCAAAGCTGGTATTAACGAGGGAGGAGAAGTGAACATTACTGAACTTTGCATAATAACTGGTAGAGAAAAAAATGCTGTCTTATCTTTATTTTATTTAGTCTTCACAAACGGTAGGTATCTGTTAGTACTATAAGATAAATGCCTAGGCTGGGTGTGGTGGCTCATGCCTGTAATCCTAACACTCTGGGAGGCTGACATGAGTGCATTGTTTGAGCTCAGAAGCTGGAGACCAGCCTGAGCAAGAACAAGACCCCATCTCTACTAAAAGCAGAAAAATTCTGTTAATCCATTTATGAGTTGATGAGCATTTGGATTGCTCCATGGAATACTGTTCAGCCACAAAAAAGATGGAGACTTTACATCTTTTATGTTTACTTGGATGGAGTTGGAACACATTCTTTTTTAGTAACATCTCAAAAATGGTTTTAAAAAAAGTATCTAATGTACTCAATATATAAATACACACTTATATGAATGATAAAACACAAATATAGTCTAGCAAGAGGGAAGGTGAGGAGGGGAGGGAAGGGGAGAGGGCAATTAGAGGGAGGAGGGAGGGCATTTGGTGGGATCTCACCTAATGTCCAAGATTTGAGGGTATTTAGCATGTAGTTCTCATACAACTTGAAATTTAGCTTGGAAATGAGAACAATGTAACCTAAAAATTTGTTCTCTCATATTGAAATTTAAAAAAACCAAAAAAAGTAGAAAAATTAGCCGGGGTTAGTGGCACCTGCCTGTAGTCCCAGCTACTACAGAGGATGAGGCCAGGAGTTTGAGGTTGCTGTGAGTTTTGATGCCACGGCACTCTACCCAGGGTGACAGAGTGAGACTCTGTCTCAAAAAATAAATAAATAAAAAGATAAATACCTATTATCACTTTCAGATTTGAAATTAAAACTATCCTATAACTTCTGAATTAATTTGGGTTTTTTTGAGACAGAGTTTCACTATGTTGCCCTCAATAGAGTGCTGTCACGTCACAGCTCACAGCAACCTCAAACTCTTGGGTTTAAGAGAGTCTCTTGCCTCAGTCTCCCAAGCAGCTGGGACTCCAGGCGCCCATCACAATGCCCAGCTATTTTTTTGTTTCAATCGTCATTTCTGGTTAGCTGGCCTGGGCCGGGTTCGAACCTGCCAACTACAGTGTATGTGGCTGGGAGCCGAGCCTGAATTAATTTGCTTTTAGGAAACTATTAATTTTAATTCTTGGAGGCAGTTGGGTCATTTTTTCCTTTCAGGGACAGAGTTCTAGTTGAAGTCACTCTCTAGGGCAGGCAACTCCAGAAATAGCCCTGTGGGTCGCCTCTGGGGTTGGGGGCCCTGAAGAGGCAGGTTTCCACTTACCACATTTCCTGTCCTGAAGTAGCTTTGAAATGTACACCCAGGCCAGGGAGGGCAGCTCAAGTGTCACTGTCTATATAAATATAGATCATAAAGACAAAAATGTTAGTGATTTTTATATGTCACTAAGTAAAAAGGCAAAAAGACAATATAATATGATCCTTTTTTTTTAAGTACATACATCTATCATTATTTATGTAGCAAAAACTATTTGAAGGAGGAATTTTTTTATTGTTTGGGATTTATTGAGAGTACAAAGAATTAGGTTATACTGATTGCATTTGCTGGATAAAATCCCTCTTATAATTGTGCCCCGCCCCCAAGGTGTGCCAACACCGTGACCCCCTCATCCTCTTCCCTCCTCCCCTCTTCCCTACTTGCTCATTCCCCCACCCATCCCCCCTTGTATTAGCTCATCTACTGCCTTCATACTAGAATATAATTCATTGGATTCTTGCTTCTCCATTCTTGTGATGCTTTACTAAGAATGTGTTCCATCTCCAGCCAGGTTAATACAAAAGATGTAAAGTCTCCATCTTTTTTAGTGGCTGAATAGTATTCCATGGCATACATATACAACTGCTTGTTAATGCATTCCTGGATTGGTGTCATTTAGGCTGTTTCCACATTTTGGCAATTATAAATGGAGCTGTGATAAGCAGTCTAGTGCAAATGTCCTGATGATGAAAGGATTTTTTTTTTCTTCTGGGTAGATGCCTAGTAATGGGATTGCAGGATCAAATAGGAGGTCTAATCTGAGTTCTTTGAGGATTCTTTATACTTCCTTCCAGAAAGGTTGTATTAGTTTGCAGTCACACCAGTAGTATAAAAGTGTTCCCTTCTCTCCACATCCACGTCAGCATCTGCAGCTTTGAGACTTTGTGTTGTGGGCCATTCTCACGGGGGTTTGATTTGCATTTCTCTGATGATTAGGGACAATGAACATTTTTTTTTTTTTTTTTGAGACAGAGCCTCAAGCTGTCCCCCTGGGTAGAGTGCCGTGGCATTACAGCTCACAGCAACCTCCAACTCCTGGGCTCAAGCGAGTCTCCTGCCTCAGCCTCCCAAGTAGCTGGGACCACAGGCGCCCGCCACAACGCCTGGCTATTTTTTGGTTGCAGCCGTCATTGTTGTTTTGGCGGGTCCGGGCTGGGGATTCGAACCCGCCACCTTAGGTGTACGTGGCTGGCGCCTTAGCCGGTTGAGCTATAGGCGCTGAGCCAGGACAATGAACATTTTTTAATGGGTTGGTTAGCCATTCATCTGTCTTCTTTAGAGAAAGTTCTATTCATGTATCTTGCCCAGTGATATATGGGATTGTTGGGTCTTTTTTTGTTGATTAATTTGAGTTCTCTATAGATCCTAGTTATCAAGTTTATGTCCAATTCATAATATGCAAATATCTTTTTCCATTCTGAAGGTTGTCTGTTTGTTTTGGTTGTTTCCTTAGCGGTACAGATTGAAGGAGGAATTTAATGGTGATTTTCTTGGGGGAGGGGTAGAAGGTGCCATTAGAGGCACTTTGATTATCTATATTATATAGGCAAACATTTAAAAATTTTAAGCTACATATACGTGCATTAGCTGAGTGCATACATGGAAAAAAAGAAGTGTGGGCTTGGTGCCCATTCTCAGTGGTTAGGGCTCTGGCCACATACACTGGGGCTGGCAGGCTTGAACCTAGCCTGGGCATGTTAAACAGGGAACAATGACAACAGCAACAACAAACAAGGCAACAACAAACAAAAATAGCCAGGCATTGTGGCGGGCCCCTGTAGTCCCAGCCACTTGGGAGGCTGAGGCAAGAGAATCACTTAAGCCCAAGAGTTTCAGGTTGCTGTGAGCTATGACTCCATGTGCGACTCTGTCTCAAAAAAAAAAAAAAGAAGTTTTTAAGAGTAGGAGGGAAAATGCAAAATAGCCAAGTAATGTTCCCTCCCCCAAATAAATTGATAAATAGCTCCTTCCTCAAAACACAACCTCTTTCAGCTGATGTCTAAGTCTGTTATAGTCGATCATTATAGCGGCACTCTACTGAGGGTGACATAATGAGACTCTGTCTCAAAAAAATGTGTCTGTTAAAATTACAGTCCTGGCTCCTTTAGGACCCAGATTTAAGACAACCTTTCCTGATTCTTTCCTCTGCATTCCCTGAGGCGCTTAGCAGATTTTTATGAGCACATGTCATTCTCCAGTGTCATTTTTTATGTGAGTCAGTGCCTGGCTGCAAGGCTCAGGCTGTGTCTGATAGCACCTCCCTTCCCTTGGCTTGTGCGTGGTGGGCACTTGGCAAAATGTTTGACTGTATATGGGCAGGATTTAGCTCTTTATTTCCCCGCATTTTGAGCTCTGTTGGGTTACTGTTGCCAGGGGTGACTTCAGATAGAGAACTTGGCTCAGTTTTCCAAACCTCATTCCCAGTAGCACTCCACAAACCTAAGTGTTTTTTTGTTTTTTTTATTTACTGGCAACCTGGCAACCTGGCTGTTGAAACCAAAATGGCCCCCTGGCCTTCCTCCAGGGAACATGCCTGGCAGGTTCTGGGCGTGGATATGAAAGGTCAGGCTCTGTCACAGCCAAGGCCCAGCCTTTGCACAAGTTCCCCTGAAATGTGGCAGAAGCAGTCAAGGGTCTGGCCTTCCAGAAGAATATCTGGCAGCCAAACAAAGGATGTTTATAGAGATTATCATAATGTGGGAAAGTGCCTCTGCTCCAGAGTTAAATTTAAAAAGCGTATAGATGCTGGGTGCCTGTAGTTCAGTGGTTAGGGCACTGACCACATGCACTGGGACTGGTGGGTCTGGGCCTGCTAAACAAACAGATGAACAAAAAAAATAGCCTAAAATAGCTGAGCTACTAAGGAGGCTGAGGCAAGAGAATTGCTTGAGTCCAAGA